CTCGCTACCTGTTGAGTCGTCGCGACGGCGGCTAATGAAGTCGCAACAGCTAAATGACTCAGTTATTATTCTTCTCTCCTCTTTTTTTTTTTTTTTGCTTAGCTAAATCTGCGCAGCATCTAGAACTCAGCTAGCTCTGCCTCTTTCAGCCAGCTCGTTAGCCGTGTCTAGACAGCGTCTGGCACAGCCGGCGGCGCTGCATAATGCAAGGACGAACCGCATGCCACATGCCACATAGATATTAGTCCTGCCACGTTGACAGGATATTCATCCAACGCCCAGCTGCTCCCAATTAACACGCCAGCAGCTCACCTATAAACAACACGCTGAAGTGTACGCAAATGATGTGCTCGAAGATACCCTGTAAAAATATGGGAGCTATGCAAATGAGAAGTGATAAAACTTTTTTATGTAGAGTATGTGCAAAGAGAGAAACTGTGACTATAGACTAGACTAATTAACTTACAGGGTATTAAATGCCAAGTAACCCATAGTAATTCCCATAAAATATCTCTTGCGTACAGGGCATTTAAATTGAGATAGCTGAAATACTCATCAATTATCTCAAATTTGATTGCCACTCGCTCACTTCTAGCAAACACACTGCCAAAGTAAACTACCCCAAGTATGTGTGCCCATGCACTAGTTAACAGGGTATTAAAAGCCCGGTGGCCCGTTGGTCCGCTGCTCGCAGTCATTGGCCGCCACTCGATACGCAGCGGCTGCAGCGCAACGGTAAAAATGCAATACAAATAACGGCAGCCGGCCAACGAAAGAAAAAAAAATAACATAAATGGTGCAGATGCAATACAGGACGCAGTACGTCCGCAGGACGCTTGCAGGACCCTCTCTCTCGCTGCTGCGTTTTCCCACTCAATTAGGGTAGCAAAAATAGTGAGAATCGAGGCGGCTGCGCACATTTGCCTAAATATATTTCCCTGCTACCAGCCCCTCACCCCCTGCAACCCTCTGGCCGACTGGCGAGAAAAAATGTTGTAGCATATGCCGCGGCGTGCGGCGCAGTTGTTATCCTTGCTGGCATTGTTAATCGTATCCTGCGTAATAGCATAATAATCCCTAATCGCATCTGATCTGTTCACCTGGTTGCCGCACAGTCGCTCTCTCTCTCTCTCTCTCTCGCTCGCTCTCTCTCTCTCTGTGTTTCTGTGTGACGGCTGCACATTTTCATCGATATCCTTTGGCAGCTTTACAAATAGCGCGACGCGTCCTTTGTGCGCCTTTTGTCGCCGTCCTTTTTATAATAGGCAGGGGTTATTTTGACAGCAGTTCATTTGCCTTCTGCCTTCTGCAATGCCATTGACATTTGTCACACACTCGCACTCACACACACACACACTCATACACACACAGAGACAACTGCTCGCCTGATCCTCGCTGTTTCAAGCATTTGGAGTGAGCTCCGTTTCACAATGTGTCGACTTTTATTTGGCTTCCAGTCTCATTTGTTCCATGTGCGGCTGCATTTCCCTTTCCATTATGTTGCTGCTGTTGTTCTTGTTGTTGTCTCTGTGGCTTCTAGGATAAATGGAGACGCCTGACTAATGCGTATTTACATTTAGGTAAATTAGCAGCCATTTAGTGGTTAACTCATTAATAACAATAATCAATTCAGTTTGTTTGCTTCTGGTCTGCTAATACACTTGAGCTTGTTAACATTTTCAATTTAATTTACATACGAAGCATTTTCAGCTCATTTTCACAGCTCTGTTTTCTTACAATTACAATTCGGTTACAATGCCGCAACACTTCGTCATCTGTCCTTGATTGAATAACTGATCAACTTACAATTGGAAAGACGACAAAAAAAAAAAAAACAATCAAACAATTGCTTTCCAACATGGAAGCTTTTCAATGAGCGACTTACTCAGCAGATGCTCCAACGCATACCAATGCGCACATTAGCACAAGTGAAGCTAACTCTACATAACGTTCCCTCTCTCACTCTCTCCGTCCCGCTGTCATGCTCACGCATTTGCGTAAACAAAGCAAAAAGGCCATTACAGTTGAAGTTCTCATTCCCACGCATTGCTGCTGATTGTTGTTGGTTTTGTCTCTTTTTTTTTTGCGCAAACAGACAAAATAAACAAAAGCTCTACGAGTGCCGTTTATTGGAAGCGCTTTGACTGCTTGAATTAGTATTCAGTTACCATAACAACCAAAGGCCGGATGCGAGCGACAAGGCTACAGCGAAAAGTCGCCAAATGATATGCTGAATACCAGTTGGGAAAGGAGAGAGGTGCACCAACACACACACTAAGATAGTCACAAATATGTGTGAAGCTAAAAATAAGTCAAAGAATGAAACAAAAATGAAATGAAACAAACGGCTAGCGCAGAAATTGTCGCGCCGAATTCATTAATGAGATTCGCGTATGCAGCATGTCAACAAGCTAGAAAGGGACGGCAGCAGTGCGAGGGGAATGTACGCGGAGGAGAGGTGGGGTTGTCACCCTTCAGGTTTTCTTTTTAATGGCCTAGACGCGGACACTGGTTGAGTGACGCGTATTGGATTTCGACATGCTATGCACGCGGCATGCGGCATGCATATCTGCAACGCCATCTAGCAAGGTGCCTCCTGCCACCCGCTTCGCCTAGCCAGACTCCCAGCTTCAGCTTCAGCAACAGCTCTGGCTTCAGCTCTAGGTCCACTGATTGACATGTGATCGCAACGCTTTGCATCGCAAGTTCTATTCCCCCGACTGCCCCCTGCCCGTTGCCACTTCCAGTCTGCTTCCACTCTGCGCTTAACCTGTTGCATCTGCTTGCGTCGTCTTCGTCGCTGCTCATTTGTCATTCATGCGAAACACTAAAGAGTCGTAAAGCAAGTCCTGCCCGCCTGGCAGCAGAGGAGGCAGAGGCAAAAAACTCTTGGCGAAGTCATAAAATTATGATCGGTATTTTTGCTGGAAATTTGAACTGTTTGTTGGCTTGGTTATATTATTTTTTGCTAGCATTTTTTATGTTTTCCTTTTTTTTCTTTAATTATTTGCAGTTTAGTTTTTCGACACGGTTTCTTGTGTATTTCATGCAACACCTTCGTTGCCTTACTTGGAAATTCGCGCGAAATTCCACAGCGAAGATTACAGTTTCCTTCCAGATGCTCCCCTCGCGCTCTTTCTCTGATTGGCGCTGATTTGAGTCAATGAATATAATTTTTGGAGAGTAATGTATCTCGCTCACTCTTGTCTTTTAGTGAATGAATGCTGCGCTTCAATTAGCACTTGAAGTGCTCTACTGCAGTGGAACGCAGACTATTGCCAGACGTGTCATTTTTCACAAACAGGCCTCACTTTCAATGAGCATTTCCCTCACATTTCCTCAATGGGCGGCAGTCTCAAATCCACATCAACATCCACAGTCAAATACAAACACAAATCAAACACTCGACTGGCGTCGTTGTCGGCTTGGTCGTCGTCGTCATTGTCGTTGTGGTTCGTGGTCTCGTGTAATATGATCATGATTTCATGCCCAGCAGAAACCCTACAAGTTGTTCTACTATGTGGGAGCGGAGTCAAGAAAGACGGGGCAACTCATACACACATACACAGAGAGATGAATGTATCTGGTCGCTGATACCATAAACCCAAATTAAGATAAGCCACGAAGAAAGAAAGAATATAACTTCTCATACTTTGAATCTTTTTCATTCACAAAATCACATCGTATGTGCAGAGAGGGAGAGTATGATTGCGAGAGTTGCTGAGTGAAATGTAGATCCAGAGAGTGCATGCATTGCAGCCGACCAATCGCAGCACAGTTGTGGAAGCTGGGGAAATTCTACAGAAGTTGTAGCTTCCACATTTTCCACAATGTTGAGAGTTGTGGCATTTAAGTGGAAGCCAAATTGACTCTACACAGAGTTGAGAGCTGGCACCTCAACTTTAAAGCCGAGATTTTGTGGAAGCTGGGGAAGTGGGAGCCGGTTCACTCTACAAAACAGCTCAATCCATGAAGACTTTTTGCAGATATATATTTGCACTCTACTTTGTATGAAGTACTTTAAAAATAATATTAAAACTCACACATTTAGAATTCAACATTTATTTATCCATCACGATTCAATAACATCCACCAGGTGGCGCATTGCCCCTTTCAGCATTCATAATACACAGATGCCACTCTACATACAGTTGCTGCTGCTCTACACATCTCACCACTGAATTACCCCGTCAACATGAGAGCCACAACTGAGATTAATTTCGATTCGACACGGAATTACTCTCCAACTGTTTGAGATCCTGTGGTCAGGCTCTACACATCATTGCCCCTTTTATATCCACAGAAATTTTCCAACGTAGCTCTGGTGCTCTCTCACTCTCCCGCTCTGCGATAGGCGGAGCCATTTTGTTCGCGTTCGTGTGTACGTTCGTATTTTCACTCTTCGAGAGGGCTGATTGCAAAGTTTATCATAAGAAATAATTTTATTAGAAATTTTAAGAACTTTGTATGTTGTACTTAATAAGAAATAATTATATATGTATATATTTAATAAATATGAACTATCTTTTAAGGTAAAAAAAATTTCGATGCGTTTCCCCTCTTTGCTGCGTGGAACGAGTTTTCTGCTGGCTCTGTTGGTGGTTGGTTGATTTTGTTTGGTCATAGAGAGCGGAGAGTGAGAGCGTTAGCACGAGAGCGAGTGTCGTCTTCGTATCTGTTACACACGAAGCACTCGACGTTCGGCTCTTGCACGGGTATAAAAGCGACACTCGGCTCGCTCTCACATCCAAATAGAAATTTATCGTGTTCGTTAAAGGTTGTTGCTTCTCCGCGCAAGAAAAAAAGAATAATAAAGAAATCAAATAAATTTAACCCAAAGCAATCGCAAAATTGAGCAACACTCGACAACAAATGTAATAGAAAACACGCTGGATTAAAGTGTTTTGTTTTGTTGATCAAAGTCAAATTCAAATGCAAATGCAACAACAGGGCAAAAAGTGCGTGTAAAGTGGAATAACAAAAATTTAAATAAACAAAAAAAATCAAAGTCAAACAAAACTCGCAGCGAAACCAAAACACATCAAAGTTGAATTTTGAAAGAAGTTAACTTCGATTTATTGAAACCTCGCAAGTAACCGGTAAAAGCCGTGTAAAAAGCCGCCAAAATTCTACTCAAGGAGCGTAAAGCGATCATCTCAAAAATGAAGTCCTTGACGGCCGTTTGCCAAACAGGTGCCTCGATGCCGGCAATGAATCCTAATGGCCGCATCGCCCGCCATCCACCGCATCGCGGCGACGGCGAGAATGCCGAAATGAAGATGTATCTCTCGAAGCTGAAAGACCTGGTGCCGTTCATGCCGAAGAACCGCAAACTCTCCAAACTGGAAATCATCCAGCACGTCATCGACTACATCTGCGATCTGCAAACGGAGCTGGAAACCCATCCGGAGATCAATAATTTCGATGCTGCTGCCGCTTTGAGTGGCGTCGCCGCAGCAGCAGCTGCCGGCGGCTCCGAAGATGAGGATGAGAGCGATGAGATGGATCTCGATGCAGCCGATGATGTATTGGCCCAGCGCCTGGCCGCCGAGCAGGAGCAGCTAGCCAAAATCTCTAGTCCCGCTGCCGCCCGCCTGCCGCTCGCCGACCGTCAGAGTCCCAACACAATTCTGCCAACAGCCGCAGCCACAGCAACAACGCTGGCGTCCGCAACAGCGGCAGCACCGGCGCCCCAACAGCAGCAGCAGCCGCTGCCCAACAGTTTAGCGACGGTAAGTTGGGCGCCTGCGTCCCCACCCACCCACATTGGGTTTTCTGTTTCTGCTTTGAATTTGCATTGCAAATGAAACGTCGCAGCTTTGACGTCGTCCCAAAAAACAAAAATAAAGAGAAAAAATGAAAACATCGAACAAAATTTACACATGCAAGCGAATTAAGCAAGCGGCGATAGCGCGACGTTTTTGCATTGTTGTTTTTGTGACCTCATTTGCTGCTAAGCAGCGTAAGGACGTTTCGGCCGTACGTTTGTTCGTTTGTCGGCATTTACATTTCTCGCCTTAAAAATATAATTCATTTTATTTGCATGCGCTTGTGTGTGAGTGTGCGAAATTTACATTCTTTCGCCTTGCTTTCTTTTCGCTGCAACAGCAACAACAACAGCTACTACTACAATAATAAATCTCGCACAATTTCATTTTGTTTTTGTAGACATTTCACATATTTTTCGCTGTTGCCGTTTCTTTCTTTCTTTTGTTGTAGTTGCGACCGCGACTGCGGCGTAGCTGTTAATTTTGTTTTTTTTTTTCTCGCGGCCTTTTTTTTGTCTTCCTCTCTTCCATTTTGTTGCTGTCTGTGATGTTTTAAATGAACACCTGCAGATACTTAAATTTATTTCATATGTGTGTGTTTGTAAGCAACTAAACACTCACACACACATGCATACATTTTATATACAGTCACACGCACTGAGGCTAACGCAGCTTTAAGCTTGACTTCGACATTTGGAGAATTGGAGAATCATCCGTCAGCCTCCGTTTCAGTTATTTCTGTGTGTCTGTTTACGCCTTCTTCTGCTTCTTCTTCTTGTTGCTGCTGTTACTTTGTTGCTTACTTCATTAGCGCAGTTTTTGGCATTTCTCATTGCCCGCCCGCAGCAGCATTGATTATAAATGATGTTGGCAAAAACAAAAATATATAAAAAGTATTAAAAAATAATACAACAGGTTATGAATCTTATGTATTTGTTTATGTATGTATGTACATATGTATGTATTTCTTCACAATTCGTGCTTGAACAATTCCAATAAAACTTCCCATCTTTACCCGCTCTCTTTCACTTCTTTGGTGGCATTTGTTTTTTGTGCAGTTGATTAATTATGCATTTGCATCTTTTTGTTCGTGTAGAAAAGTATTTAAGTAAAAACCCCCACAGCACAATTAGTCGGTCATTCAGGCCTTATGAACGGCTGTGTTGCTCTGGCAAATGAAAAAAAAAAGAAGCAAGCAAAACATCTGCACTGAGATTGAGACATGCTGCCCACGCCTCAGACTCTCCGCCCTTCTACTCTCCACCCTCTCCACGACTACTGCTTTGTGTGTGTGGGTCTGTTATGATGTGTCACTCTGCTGGCTGCAAAACAACAAATTCCTTCGTAAAGGCACAGCAGCAGCGAAAAAAGAAAAAAACACACACGCATGTGTGTGTACATTCATATGCGCATATGTATGTACATATGTATGTATAAGACGTAAGAAGAAATGCACGTGTTCAAAATGTTCTCGTTACGTAGTTGTTGTTGCTGCTGCTATTGCTGTGTTGCTTTGCTGTTGCTGTTCTTTTTTTGTACTTTTTCGCGCCGCGCAGCTGTGCGCCAGTCGCCAGTCGGTCGCTTTCTACATTGTGCGCACCCCTGACGTTGCCCTACCTCCTTCTCTACGTCTGTCCCTCTCCTTCTAGTAGCCGACAAAGCACTGCGGTCAGTCAACATAACAGGCAACGACATTAGAAGACGCAACAACAACAACATCTCCTACAAGCTCATTTGATTTTCTTAGTCTTGCGCTGGCGCTCAGTTGGCGCCTCTTCTTTGGCCCTTCTCCTGATACGTCTCTCTGTCCGAGCAATAAAATAAAAATAAATAATAAAAAAGCAGCAACAAATTGCACACGAAGCTCGAGCGCTTCGTAAGCAAACGAGACAAGTAAGAAAGCAAGAAGAAGAGCTGTAAAATAAAGAACGAAAACAACGGCAAATTAATTGATAATTCGTGATTTGTTGTGCAAGTCAGGCATACACTTATACTAAGACTTTCGCCTCAAGCCTCATATGCATACGCTAATACGCAGTTCTTATACTTGAGACTTCGCCTTAAGCATATATGCATACACTTATACACTGAGGCTTCGCTTGCATCTACCTCTACTGCTCACACTTATACGTCGGCTTCCCCTCAAAATTAAACATCACACACATACATTTATACAGAATACTTATATTTTTCAATGTTGACTAATTTTCGCTCTCTCGCTTATTCTCATTGCAGCAATTGAGCGGCGAAAAGGACAGCAGGCAATCGTAAAGCAGCCGGCAGCAGCAGAGGCCGCGGCAGCAGTATCAACACCTACAACTAATACTAAACATTTAAAGCTATAGAAATCATATTAATTAATGTTAGTCGCAGTGTAGTACAGTCAGCTCCACTCAAAACTCAACTCCACTCAAAAACCAACTCGTGTGAAGATCTCCACAAACAACAACAACAACAACATACAACAAGCAAACAATAACAATAACATCAATGAAAAATGAATTAATTATATCTACACATACATAGACACTGCAGCCACACACCCTCATCCCCACCCAGACACAGGGCGTGTGGCTGTAAAAGCATTTCACACCAATACATTGAAAGAGTTTAGCTATAAAAAAAAACAAAACAAAACCTAAATAGCATTAAAAACAAAATGTAAGCACTAATACATTATTATTATTAACATTTAACGTTTAACATTTAACTATTAGCAGCAGTTAAGAAGTAGAAGAAGATGCAGACGTAGCAGACGAATGAAGAAGAAGAAAAGAAAAACTTGGCAAAGCTTTAAACAATTTAATTTTTCCTTTGATAAAATGAAATGAAAAACTGAATAATTTTTGTTTTCTATATATTTAGTTTTTGGTTTAATTGAAAGAAGAAAATCATGTTAATAATTTTACGAATAATAAGATGCAAAGCAAAATAAAAGAAAAAAAAAAATAAAAAAAAAAAACAACAGCAATAAAAATAAAAACTAAAAAATAAAGCAAAAATTTTCATTCTCATTTTCTCAATTAAATATTTTCCTATTAATTTTAAATACATAACAAAAGCAAACTAGAAATTTTTATCCTATGATTATTTCATTTATTTATACACACACACACACATGGAAAAACCTCAAGGAACAATTTTCTTATCATTTAGTTTAAGCGACAGCAAAAAGTTTTCCTCCTTTTTAACTCTTGAATAATAATAATAATAATATTAATAAATATATAAATATATTTATGTTCTGTGATCTGTAGCATACTTTGTACAAAGTGTTTTTTATTTAGCATAATTATGCGTTTTAAAATATATATTTTTTCGAAAATAATTATAAAAAAAATAAGAAGAGAAACAAACAAAATGAATTAATTTTTATTTGATTTTAACATTTTCTAATCGGGCATACCACATTTTCCCAAACATGATGTAACATGATGCAAGAAAAGAGAAGCAACAAAAAATGAATTATAGATATTACAAAATAAATTACTTAAAAATACTATTCAAAGTGCAATTTGTTTGATTTTAGTTGTGTTACGGATTTTTCTCGGGAAACTTCCAATTATTGGCTACCTGGGCGGCGAAATTATGTGGAAAACAAACGACTGTTGGCTTAACGATGTGAAAACCCATTTCCCATGTAAACAAGTGCAACGTAACAACTACCGTTAGGGTAGCACTCKAGCACACACACACACATACACATAGATAATGCGCTCGAACGAGTTTTCTCACGCATTGTCATTGTCTCCGCTGCCGCTGCCCATTAAGGGTTTCCCAGCCACAGCCTCAGGTAGACGCCCAACTGCAGTTGCACGTGTGCAAAAATTATATATATAAAGAAATTCTCTTTCGAGAAATTTTTCGAATTTTGGGTTTTTACCCACAGCTGAGGCTGAGGCTGAGGCTGAGACGGAGACTAACCCAGAAGAGTGCAGCTGCCTCACAGTTGCTGACGTCGCTGCCAGCGTCAGCATCTGCGTCTGCGTCGCCGTCGCCTATTAGCGTTAATGATTGCAGCTTACAAAGCAATTGACCAATTGCCTTGGGGGCTGCGACTGAGGCTGAGACTGGAGACTGGAAACTGAGAGTGGGGCCACTCGGTGCCAGTCGCCCCATTCAAATGTCAGTTTGGCTGCCCGCTAACCAAATCAAACGCAGTCAACTGTCAATGCGTGACTTGGAGTTACCCTGTACTTCACATTTGTATGCGGTAGCGTTATAAGTGATTTCTAGAAGTAGCTAGAAAGAGGAGGAAAGAGGAAATATGTTTGTGTAAGTAGGGTTTAGGTTAGCAGTTCTTGTTATTACTGAAATTTGATTAAAATTTGAAGAGTACAGAATAGCGATAAATATAAATATGTATTTGTGTCAGAGACGTATAAAAGGCTTCAAATTTCAAATGCATCCATGTATGTACATATAAACTATATATTCTAATTAATTGATATACCCCAACATACCCCTTTAAAACATTACAGGGTATCTCTGCGCTTTTGTTTCACATGCATTGTGGCTGCGATTGTTTTCCCCACATTGTGGTGCGTTCTCTCTGGTATGCGCTAATTGTTTTTTTGTGCATTCTGCAATGCCAACACGAAGCTCGCGCTCGAGCCCGCAACAGCTTCCAATGGCTTCCAATGGACATGTCTCTGGAACGCTGCGACTCAAGCAACGATTACAGCAGCAACTCTAGCGCTTGCTCCGACGTTTGGCAATTAGCGCGCCTAGCTCGATTTTCACCCATTTGCCGCTGTGGTTTATTATGTTTTTGTCTTTTGGTGTTTTTTTGTTTTTTGGGTGCGACATGGAACGTGAAATCAGTGAAACTTGAATTACCATAAAAACTCGTGTAACAGTCAACAGCTGCGGCTGCGCAGCCGGCGAAAAACGATGAAAAAAAGGCAAACAGAAACAAAAACAATTTTTGACATAATAATTGTCAAGCTGACATTTCGAACAGCGCAGCTGACAGCTGAGCCGAGCCGAGCCGAACGACTCTCAGCTCAGCATTGCCGAAGCCGAGGCCGAAGAGTCGAAAAGCCGAAGCTGCTGCGCACAGCTAGCAAAATGGGAAAGCTGAGCCGAAGGCGGCGGCGACGGCAGCCGAAGCGACAGCCAACGACGACGTCTTTGTAGGTGCGCATAAAAATTGCATTTAATTGTGATTTTCACACGAAACACAAAGCGCATGAGCAACTGGCGCCAGTTGCTGGGTGCCGAGCCGAGCCGAGCCGAGCTGAGCTGAGCTGAGCTGAGCAGCAAGGCGGGCGGCAATTTGTGCAACTAGCGGTAAAGCGTAACTACTAAACAGCGCGAGACAGCAAAGCACACACACACACACACACACACATAGATAGCAAGAGAGAGACATAGACATAGACATAGTGGAAGGGGTTCGCGCAGAAGCTGAAGTGGAAGTCGAAGTCGAGCCGAGTCCAAGTTGGCAGTCGCTGCTGCTGCTGCTGCTGCTGCTGTTGTTGCTGGTGGTGGCTTTTGGGAAACACCTGCAAAACGCAAACGCACCTGTTTTGCTAAGCAGCAGCAGCAGCAGCAAAAAACTAAAACAAAGTCAGACACCAACGCCAGCAACAACAACAACAACAACAACAGCAATAGCAACGCGGACACGGCTCGGCAACTTTCGTGGGTTTTCAGCTGCAGCGCAGTGGAATGAGCTGAGGGGGCGGGCAAGTGGAGGGGGCCTGGTTCCAGCTGGAACTCTGCATGACTTTGTGTAATTGAAGCAGCCGCAGCAGCGGCGGCAGCGATTTGAGTTTTCAGCTTTTGACTTTCTTGACTGTGTTAGGAAATCGAAACCGAAGCGTAGCCGTAAAGGGGGCGGCGGAGGGAGGAGGAGGCAGCTGGCCAACACCAGGTGAAACCACCAGGCAGCGCTGATGGGGCGGCATTTGGAGTCAGGTGCAAGTGCACATGTTGCACATATATTGGACATGTGTATCTATCGGTTATGCGTAGTTTCTGCATCGGAAGCGGCAACATCAGCTGGCGGAAGCTTTTGGGCCAGCAGCTGTCGCACTCAGCATGCCTCATGCCCCATGTATGTATGTCGCAGGCAGCAAATGGGCGCCGCTTGCCACTGCTCTATGCGCCATGTGTGGCAATTGGTCAGCGCATTGATTTCAGCTGCGTCACCTTCTTTTGTGGCAACTGCAGCCGGCGGCACAGCCGCACATGTTTGCCTAATGACAGCCGCAGCAGTGGCCCTCAGTCTTCCAGCTTTCAGCTTCCAGCTTCCAGTGGAACGACAACAACAATGGCTAGGTGCGGCAGCAACAATTGCATTGGCAACGGCAACTCAGACATTTGATCGAAAGCCAGCCGCTGCTGCGGAAGCACATACTTCAAACACTGGAACAGACTGTGCTGTGTGGCATGCCACATGTTGCCACTGCCGCTGCCAAAAGGCGCTGATTAAGATCGCTTGCAAGTTGCAACGGCTCCTGTCTGCCAACACTTCACATGCCAAACGAAAATGAAAACTGAGAAGGCGTAAAAAGATAAAAGCTTGAAAAATTGCATCTTAAACTTTGTATCTAAACAATCGAAAATTGTATCATAAGCAGCTGCTGAGAAGTTTTTCCATTGCGGATCTCTCTGAAATGTCTCCTTGGCATTATATGCAACATTTAAGATATATTAAATGAACTTTAATGATATATGAGAGGTACATATTGATTGTAATATTTATGGAATTTAGCTTTGAATGAAATTTAGCTTTATATGAAAAGTTTTCATTGTATCTAAGATATATTAAATGTAAAGTTATATATGTCGTAGATCATAAGATATATGAATCGATATCAATTTGACAGTGTTAGTCATTTGTATTTGAAGAGAAGTACCTTATATGTACCTCATATACCTGTTTATCCAATTGTCAAAATCTTGTCTGAGATTTGAGATCAGCTAGATCTGTCTATTAAGGTGAGCATGTATCTAGATATATCTTTATCTATATATACATACATATCCATCTATGTATCGACCTGTTTGCCAATATATACTTATCTACCTTTAAGTCTATTATCTTATGTCCATATCTCGTTTACTTATCCACATATCCATTATTTATCTACATTTATCTAGCTATCCACCTACGTATATATCCAATACTCTATAACTAAATCGTTGATTGTAATGCAACATTGCTGCCATATTGATGGGTTAATTGAATTATAAATCACACAAGAAATCCGGATACTTAATCTTGCAGCTAATAATTGGTCAAAATATGCAAAATAAAAGTCAACTTCATTAAAGCCCATAAAAATATGCGCAATAAATTGCGAAAAGCGTTAAATAAATTATGCGGCAAATAAGAGGAAGGAAAAACAAAAATAAAATGCAAAACGGAAAATGCAAAAGAAGAGAAAAAATAAAAAATTGAATATTATGCAGCAGAGCGCAAATATTTATAGGAGCTGTCAATTG